ACTACATCTGTTCATTGAACACATCACTAAGCTCCGCCTACAGACCAGTCTGTTTATGAAACATGTCACCAAGCTCCGCCTACTGTCAGCAGGCTGCCTTATAGCCATAGTAATGGAAAGCAACAGTAATTTTATTTCATAAAGTTTAATCTAATAATAAATTGATTGATGATTAAAACAAATTGACTTTTGATACATTCAATTTTAGTCCGTTGATTTCCAGTGATGGTGTTTTGGTATTGGATGAAAAAAAAAATTGAAAGCTTCTGAAATTCATCCTTAAACTTTAAATAACTAAATTATTTCTGTCTCTGTGGCACCAAGACTTCGAGGCTCGTGCACAAAAACGACGTTTAAAGATTTTAATATCAGTTGAAATCTGGTTTTAAAATTCCCTCTGAGATAAAGGGACAAACTCCACTCCTCCTTCTGGTCTGACTTCTGTTTCTGTTCTCACCTGGAAATGATGCGGACACACACCCAGAGTGTGCATGTGTGTGTGTAACAATGTGTGTGTGTCTCTGCAGGGCACTCAGTGATAGATGCTGGGAGTGCACCGTGCTGAGCTCAGCAGAAAACTACCCAGCAGGTCCTGTCAGTCCTCCTCCTCCTCCTCCTTTCATCCCATCACACCATCGTGCTCAGTGTCAATAAAGCGATGAAGAGGAAGGAGGAGGGGGCTGGAGGCCAGGGGATAGACGGATGTCCGGGTTTGAAGCTGGTTGCTGCTTTTGTTAAGCAGGATTGTCCGATTGAAGCGTTTGACAGCAAAGAGACGGATCTCTGTGGTTTAGCGTCATGAGGAGCTGATCTCCTGAGGGGGAGGGAGGGAGGGAGGGAGGGAGGGAGGAGGAGGAGGTGGAGGACAGATCCACCGAGGAAGAGTAGAGGAACGTCAACAGCTCAGATTTTCGGGATCAAAGCTAATATTTAACTCGTTTCTGTTTGAATCGAAGAGTTCAACTAAAGTCTTAGGATTATTTGAATTGAAGGTTACTTTCAAGAGGTTCCGGTTCTCTGTCCTCCTGTTCCTGTTCTCTGTCCTCCTGTTCCTGTTCTCTGTCCTCATGTTCCTGTTCTCTGTCCTCATGTTCCTGTTCCCTGTCCTCATGTTCTGGTTCTCTGTCCTCCTGTTCCTGTTCTTTGTCCTCATGTTCCTGTTCTCTGTCCTCATGTTCCTGTTCTCTGTCCTCATGTTCCAGTTCTCTGTCCTCATGTTCCTGTTCTCTGTCCTCCTGTTCCTGTTCTTTGTTCTCGTGTTTGGATTCTTTGTACTTGTTCTCCAGTTCTCTGTATTCTTGTCCAGGTTGAGGAATGATGCAGACTGTTGGTGAAATTAATCTTCTAATATGTTCTCCTGGTTTTCCTGCTGCGCACCTCAAGGATGTTCCTCCTTAGGGGAGAACCTCACAGGAACCAGTAGAGAAAGAACAAAATTATCTCTAGATTTATTTTAAACCTTTGAAAGTACAAAACCCTGAAATAAAGAGTGAAGAAAATCTTTTTTATTTTATTTTTTATTTTAATGTACTTCTGGGTAAGAGAACCTGGAGGGAACAATCAGAACTTGAGTTAGAACTGTGACCCAAACTGATGAAAGACAGAACGTTCTAGAAACCTTCAACCATAAGGAGGTTCTGAAACATTGGTTAAAGACCGAAACAGAAAGGTTCAGTTTGATTGTGCTCCTCATCACGTTTCAGGTTCTTGTCAAACATGAGAACCACAGTTTGAATCCAGAGTTCTTCTGTAATCTTCATGTTCTTCTGAGATGGAACCAGTTTCTGTGTCTGTATTGATGTCCTCTGGTTGTGTGTCCATCAGCACCCATCGCAGCTGGAACCGGGCCCAACTTCTCTCTGGCGGACCTGGACAGCTCCTCCTACTACAGCATGAGCCCAGGAGCCATGAGAAGACCCCTGCCGAGCACCTCCTCCTCCAGGTACTGGTTCTGGCTCCTTACTGGGTCACCGCAGAAAACCACTTCCATCCTGGACAGAGGGCGGAGTCACCAAGACCAACACCATGTCTAAAAATGTATTCTGTTTATGAAGGAAGTTTGGTCTAAAAATGTGTTTTTATGACAAGAGAACTGACAGAAAGATGGAAGGTTCCACAGAAATGTTCCCACCTGTGGAACTACAAGCTCCGCCCCCAACCTCTGCTGTCCAGTTGAAGCTGGGGCTACCTGCCCTGCAGCAAACACACACACGTATCATCTGACTCCACCTACCTCTACAGGGACTGCCCACACACAGAGCACTGAGACGAGGACCAGACCTATGTGGAAATATACACACACACATGCACGTGCACACACGCACATGCACACAGACACATACTGAGTGAATCTGAAGCTTCTCGTTCTCCACTTGAACTTCACTCGAGTCACATGACCAGAACTCAAGTTAGTCTGCACTCTGGACTTGTGGGTCTTGATTTGGGTCTTGACTCTGGACTTGTGGGTCTTGATTCTGGACTTGATTCTGGACTTGTGAGTCTTGATTTGGAACTTGACTCTGGACTTGTGAGTCTTGATTCTGGATTTGAGTGTGAAGACCTGTGAGTCTTGATTCTGGACTCGTGAGTCTTGTTTTGGGTCTTGACTCTGGACTTGTGGGTCTTGATTCGGGACTTGACTCTGGAATTTTGAGTCTTAATTCTGGACTTGATTCTGGACTCGTGAATCTTGATTT